CCCTGCTCCCTCAGCACTCCATCTCTCCCGGGCTAATGGCTCCAAGCGGGGCCGAGAACGTTCCAGCACTTGGCGGGCATCGTGGGCAGACTGGGCCTCAGGCTGCGCCTCAGTATATAAATCCACTCAAAAACGATGGCCACGGGATCCCCAAGCCGACAGCAGTGCCAGGCTTCATGCCCAGCACGTTGGTCACGCCACAAAGTTTCCGAGAGCCTACTCCCAAAGCACCAGCAGTTTTCACCAGCAAACCCGCAGCGTCTGCACAAGTAAGGAGTGACGGAATAGAATTGGCCTGTATTTCTCTGATTGATACTGCAGTAGTAACACTCTTGTCCTGTGTCTCTGACTGCTTTTCTTTGTGTCTCTTGCTCACTCCCATTTGTCTCATTTTCACACTGTCCATCTTTCTCTTCTCTCCATATGATGAAGACTAAAGAAGCTGGTACTTTTGCACAGCCACAAGCCCCAAATCTTGTCAAACCTATTCCAGTGAGTATACGCACTAAAACACTGCAAGACACTTTAGCTTTGCTGCATTCCGAATGCCAACATATGCAAAATAGTTTCACAAAACTTCTTTGTGAATTTTGATCCCCAACACAGTGATGACAAATTCCTATTGTTTTGTAAAAAAATAAAAAATAAAAAATAATAATAATAATTAAAGCGAAACCTAACAATTGACTGCATTTAGTTTTTACACACTATTGGTGTGCAGACCTCAAACATGTACTGGTGGCTGAGAATCTGGGACTGAAAGTGTGCACTGTGCATGTGCTTTAATGACTTGCTTGTCTTTTTTTTCAGACCAAGGCGGGGCTAGTTGTGCCAGGGGAGGAGCCGTCATTGCTACTTTCCCCCAGTGTGTTCCAGCAGTCCACTGCAAAAGCACCAGAGCTGCCAAGAAATCCTGCTCCTCCACCGTCACCCCCTGCCTCTCTGGGGGCTGGAGAGCTTCCCTCAACAGTGTACAGCAAGGCACAGCTACAAGACATTCTGATACATTTGATAAAGGTACACACTCAAATAGAGTATTAATAAATGTTTTTTTTTTTGTTTTTTTTTTAAGTTTAGGTCTGTGGATACTGGTCATTTTTCTGCTAAATTTAATTTCTTAAATTTGGATTTGTTTCTGCTTTGTCTCTTTAAGAACGATGCCCACTTCCTCAGCACAATCCACGAAGCATACATGCAGAGCCTCACCAAAGACCTCAGCAATGTCAAACTATAGCCACTGACCCCAAACTCCCAGACTGAGTGCTCTTTCTATCAGCCCAGGGGGCTGTATTAGGACAGAACCACCGCATACTGGTGCACTGGTTCTCTCACTGTATCTTAGTCACAGAGGGATGAATCCAAAGGCACACATCACTCCTTTCTTTCAGCGCTTCTCTGCAAGAACGCAAGCTTCAGGATGACTACATAGCCATGGTTGCCCCACATCTGAGCTCCGGCTATTCTGAATCATGAGGGGGAACACACACTTCTTTTGTCTAATCGTTGTCCGTCTCATCCTGTCTGGTCCCTCATTGCCCTGTCTGTCATTCCATCTCTAGCTACTGGTTATGGCTAAGCTTATGAAAGCAGGTGCAATATAGGCATTTTTTTGCCTTTTGTAACAGTCATGTTTGGGGATGCATTGATACCGTTTTTTTGTTTTTCAGATTGAGAGCATATGTGTTTTTTTTTTGTTTGTTTGTTTGTTTGTTTTTCTTTCATATTTGTCAATAACAATACTGATTCTGAAATGAGAAACCTACTTGGTATCAATCAGTGACGTCATGGAACATTTTATTTAGTTCTATTTATATTGGTTGCTGCCGCAATGAACTCCTCATGCTCAGTTTTATGTTTGAGACGTTATGGTGTTAAAACAGTATCTTTAATAGAGCGCAACAGCAGCAGACCAGAGCAGTATCAGCGAGCGTATTGAAATGCACCTTGCTGTGAATTGCACCTTGACTCACAAGCAAAGTACAGACCCTAAGCACAAGGTGCTCAGTGCTCGCACAGGTGAAATGCTTTCTGATGCGAGGCAGTTCCTCTCCATGCTCCCTTCACTAGTCCACCTCAATAACTGTGTGCGTCCAATTCACAGCACCTTGCACCCATTTTTAATGCTCGCTGACATTGCTCTGCTCCCTCGCGTAAGACATTTTATCAGGATACTTGTATTGTAGGGAGTTGCTATAGTAGCTCCTCTTGATATTTTCACAGAGCACTGATGTATGTCCACATCGCTTTCATTTTGTGCCATCTGTTCATTAGCGTGACAATATACACTAGGCTTACATCACACAGTATGACGTGGTATCGGTTGTTGGTATTGGAGCGTGTTTACGAGTAAATGAGGATGTTATCAGACCGATACCCAATACCAGTATCGTATCGCTGCCTCTCGATTAACCATGGCTCTTTCTTATAACTAAAATAACGCCCACGATTAAGTTTTGAACAGTAACCTGAGGGAAGACCTGCACCTTTTCTTGAAGTAATATTTGGACCCAGGTCTTGAAGTGAGATATGATAACCTTGATGGATTACAGTAGTGCTCGTGATGCATTTTAAACTGCAGTAGCGTTACTGCAATAAGCTTTATTTGCACTGGACAATAGGAGTACAACTGCTTATTATATAGTGATAAATTAGTTTGATTATAAATAAGGTGTTATGAGTTATGAAGTACCTTTTGAGCTCTTGGATATGTTGGGCATATTTCAGTCATCAAATTTAATCTGCAAGTTTAGGATGAGTGTGAAGTTTTGCCGCTTTGTGATTTGGGATAGGTTGATTAATAAGCACAAGGACAAGACTCTCAAGATGAGCAGGCCATTTAAATAAAGTGGATTTGAGTAAACTTCAAGGACTTGCATTGAGTTGTTGGTTTTTAATAATAATAAACGTTCAATTTGGTGTGCATCCTTTTAAAGGTTGCCAAATAAATAAATAAGCAAATCTGCAGTAGCATATGATGATTTCTGGTTTAAAACCTTTTCTATGATATTGATTAATTCCTCCACTATGTGGCGCTTTTTGGTTATTTTTCTGTTTGGTGGTTTTTTTTGTTTGTTTGGTTGGTTTTTTTTTTGGGGGGGGGGGGGGGGGGGGGGGGGGGGGGGGGGAGAGACACTAGGCTTTGTGTCTAAACACAGAATTACCATACAGCCTGTGAGAATTTAAGTAAAGTCTTTTTAATGCAAATATTTTATCTGTATAATGCTGTTAATTGATCATCTCCCTTTATGTCTATTTTTGGTCAGCTAAATTACAAATAACATTCTGTGATTTATGATGCATATTTTGATTTTGTACACACATGCCAGCAGGGAAATGAGATGCATTAAGAAACCATGAACCATGCAATTCAGATTTGGTTGTAATGGAAATCTCACTAAAGTAACCAAGAGCAGCTTTAAAGTGCTATACTCGTTTGGATGCTTGAATGCATCTTATGGGCAGCTCTGTTCCCCCACACCCTTTTTTCATTTGAAGGCTATTTTAGGGGGAAAAGACACATCTGTTTGGCCAAAAAAAAAAAGGGGTAAACAATTTTTCACATACCCCAATTGTAGTTGATCAAATATCACACTTTTGGTGTCCAGCTTTTGTTTCTTTACTTAGACATTCAGCTACATGGTGAAATATCGTTGAGGTTTATAGATACAGTTTAGTCATTGCACTACTTAAGATTTAAATGTGGATTAGATACATTAGCTTCATAATTTCAGTGCAACACAATCAAACGTGCTGGGTGGCTACATTTGAGTAAGAAATGCATTAGTACATGATCCATCTTTAGTTTAGTTTTTTTTTTATGTTAATTATATTCTCACCTAATGAATGTTTTTCCCTCAACCTTTCCATTTTCTTCATTGTTATTTCCTGGGGTTTTTTGTTTGTTTGTTTGTTTGTTTTTTTCAGAAAATGTAGAAGCAATTATTGCATCCTAGAACAGCAATCTCAGAATTCTGCTAAACTGCATGTCACTAGAGTCTGCACTAATGCAAAGAACTAGCGATCACTTGTCATTATCCTTTTTAAAGTTCTTTGGCAGGTCTGTTCAGCTGATTCAATGTACAATAAAACTGTTCTGTTACCTCTCCTGATCATGTTTTGCAAAGTAGCTTATTTTTTAATGACCTTTCCCACATGCACAGTTGAAATGCAGTAATAAATGAGTTGATTGCTTTGACTCTGTATTGTTAACATCAAGCTCAAAACTGACACAGGGAACAGTGTTCATTATGTTGCTTTTAGTTCATGAAGCCAAATATAATGAATTTGGAACTTCACAATGCGTGAAGCATTAATTAAACCATCTGATTTGAATCCTTCATCACTTGACCAAGGTGTGCTTGTGAAATTAATTCAATTTTATTTCCACAGAACTCCAATAGACAAAGCAGCTTTGCATAAATTTGGGTGTAAGTTTAGATCCCTAATGCGAGCGAGCCAGAGGTGACATGAAGAAGAAACCTTGAGAGGACCCATACTCGCAAGGAAGCCCACCTCTTCTGGGTGACACTTGATAGTGATATTGTAAATCATTACAGTATATATGTGTAGATTAGTAAAGTCACACAGTGTGTTGAGGATGTTCAGTATGAGCATATTATGAATAATAGTAATAATGGGATGAGCACTAATAACTGTAGTGATAATCTAATAATAATCTAATAACTGTAGTTTAATTACAGAGCATGTCTAAAATTGAATCAATTCTTCCTCCTCAAGCAGAACTCGGAGACAGGAAGGCATCACCATAGCTTGCACATTGCTATTGTACACCCAAACAGATGTTTCTCAAAGACCTAAGCTCACTTGTCTTTGGTCCAAGTGGTTTGGTACATTTAACTGGAATTCACACTCATTACAAACCCAATACAAGCACAGGACACCTCCAACTAGACGGCTCAGAGAGTTTATGTATGTTGTCCTTGTGTCTTGAAGGATGATGGGGTGAACCATCCTTGTGGCTTAAAGGCATGGGTATTGGGGGAGTGGTAGCTCGGTGGTTAAAGTGTTGGACTACTGATTGGAAGGTTGCGAGTTCAAATGTCAAGCCTGCCAGGCTGTTACTGTGGGGCTCTTGACCAAGGCCAGATAAGCTCTGGATAAGGACGTCTGCCAAATAAGGGTGTCTTCACAAATTGCTGGTATGGATGCAGATTTTCTTTCCAATCAAGCAGGAGCCACACCTGATTCTACCTGTTTACTCAGTTGATCTTGGCTAGTAGGTGTGGCTTCTGCTTGTTTGGAATGAAAACCTGGACCCACACTGGCCCCTTCTTGAAAAGACTGGACACCCCTGCTTGAAGGGAATGTAGCACAGAGGTTCTACATAGATAGCTGGGGGCTAGTTCATTTTAGTTTTACAGGAAAGTATCAGTGTTTTAATGTGGGCAGTTACAGGAAGCCAGTGAAGGGAACACAGCAATGGGGTAATGAGGAACTATTTTAGGAACCTTTACTGCTTCTTGCTGTACGCTTGGCTGGGAGTGTGATCTCGAAGTCTCAGTACTGAGAGCTAAAGCAGCAGGAAGAGTTAGATTTGGTTAATGGCCTGGGATAGGGAGGCACAGTGGCATAGTGGGTAGCATTGCTGCCTGACAGCTCCAGGGTCCCTGATTCAATCCTGAGCTCGGGTTCCTAAGCTCAGGTTTCCTCCCACCTCCCAAAAATCATGCAGGTAGGTGGATGGTTAATGTGTGGAGGTGTTAATGTGTGTAAATAGTACCCTGTGATATACTGGCATCCTATCTGGGGTAAATTCCCCCCACCTTTACCCACTGATGCTGGGATAGGCTTCAGATCCACCAGCCTGGACAGAGAAAGGAGGTTTATTTAAAGGGGTACATTTGTTGAGTATATAGAGGCATGAGTATATATGCGTTTTCTATGAAACTTCAAATAAACTCTTCATTTCATGAAGTTAATTCTGTGTTTGTGTCTCATTCTTGGACTGGAACAAGCAGAAAAATCATACAATCCATCAACCACTAAGCATAAATTTCATTATAAATGCTTGCTGTATTTTAGGAATATTAAAACATACAATTGCTGTATTTGGATTCATAATTGTAGATTGAGCAAAAATGTTATTTTCGATAGACAAAATAATGCAAAGTTCAGAAAGACCTAAGTGGCCAAGAATTGTGTGTCCATTATTATATTCAGCTAATAAAAGCTTCCAAACACGGCAACATTAAAAGTGCACACTGTAAGCCCGGCTTAACAAATATTGATAATCAGATAGCAGTTCAGTGGGCTTGCAACATGATTTCAATGATCCTGTCTTATATCATGACTCTTTGTAATATTTGATCTCATTCCTCTGTTTACTGAAAGGAAAACTGTGCAAACACAGTGGTTGATTGGTAAGGCTTAGAGAACATTTTGTTTCACAGTCAATCGTTATTAGCTTAGGTCTATTCATAGCTCTATCATTCGTTTCTCTGTTTCTGCCACAACCCTAACCAGGATAAAGCAGTTACTTAAGATGAATGAATAGTTCATTAATATTCTTACTCAATATTTTTGGCAGCAGCAGTATGTCAACATTCTAGCTTATTATCTTACAATTTTGAATTTTTATCTCAATACTGACTTATTGTCTCAAAATTCTGACTTATAATTTTGGCTAGTCTTAAAATCTTGACTTAGTATCTCAAAAAAATTGAGTAATTATCTCAGGATTTGAGTGTTTTCTCAATTTTCTGACTTATTACCTCAATATTTTGACTTATCTCAAAATTCTGACATCTCAAAATTATCTTATTCCATCTTATTTTGACATATGATGATGATAGGTCTATGCAAATAAAGTGTCTGTTTAGAAAGATAACCTAATTAACTCACTTTGTAAGTGACTAGCTATCTAGTTTAATATCTAACATAACTAGCTGTTCAAATTATATATCAAATGGTGAATTCATACTTATAGTACCTGCTATTCCTGTTACGCATCCATGCTTGCTATATGCCATCCAATGTTAATGCAAGGAGGTAAAAAAAAAAACACTACTTTAAAAATAAACATGCAAACAAAAATTTATTTCATTTTTCTGTTATTTATTTTTTTTAATATTATGTAGAAAGTTAGTAAAGATTGAGAATGATAAATAGTCTAGAGAGTTACAGAAGTTTATGTTCATTTACAATAATGATCTCAAGTGATTGAGAGTTGATGTACAGTTGGGGTCATAAGTTTACATACGCCTTGGAGAATCTGCAAAATGTTAATAATAATTTAAAAAAAGGGATCATAATTGCATTTTGTTTTTAATTTGCATAATAACAATTTATTATGTTAAATAACAATTTACTCTGATCATCCTGTTCAAAAGTTTGGCTCTTAATGTATTGTGTTGCCTTCTTGAGCATCAGTGAATGTTTGCACCTTTTGTAATAGTCCCTCAGTTGTCCTCAGTGTGAAACGATGGATTTCAACATCATATAGCCACTGTTGAAGGGGTCAAATATGCAGAAGTTCCTGGAAAACCAAAGAATGTGCAGTACTTGGAGGATTTTTCTGAAGAACAGTGGGTAGTTTAACTGCTGAGGACAAACAAGGAACTTTTGAACTGGTTCATTTGTGTAAATTCAGTTATTATTGTGTCTTGTGGACTATATGTAAACATCTGTTATGTGAAATAGCTTATTAAGGGCAGTACTAAATAAAAAAACAAAAAGCAATTTTTATGATCCCTCTTTTTAAAAAAAATAAATAATTATTAACATTTTGAAGATTCTGCAAGGCGTATGTAAACTTATGACCCAACTGTACATCATATATTTTCCTAAATCATAAAAAAACTTAAATTGACTGTACTTAAGTGTGGACATTCTATTCAAACGTGTATAACAGAGATAATGCAGAATAACTGACCTATCTTAAAGGGATACTTCATGCAAAAATGAAAATTCTGTCATCAACCGTAAACAGTGCAGCGCTTCCAGGTCCGGTTGTATCGCGAGAATGTCCACTCTTGCGTCAACACACCGCACATGCGTCATGGTCCTCTCGTGAACGCGTGTCAGAGATCTATGCGGAAGTGAAGATATTTAGTGAATAAAGTCTTTATTTAATTTTTTTTTTTTTACACACACACAAAGCATTCGTATCACTTCATAAAGTTGGAATTAAACAACTAGGGTCACATGGATTACTTTTACGATGCTTTTATGAACTTTTCAGAGCTTGAAAGTTTTGGTTACATGGACTGTCAATGGAGGGACCGAAAACTCCCAGGTTTCATTAAAAAATATCTTCATTTGTGTTCCGAAGATGAACGAAAGTCTTATGGGTATGGAACGACATGAAGGTGAGTAATTGATGACAGGATTTTCATTTTTGGGTGAACTGTCCCTTTAAGATAGGTCAATTATTCTGTATTATCTCTGTTATACACTTTTGAATAACAAAAAGAGCAACTTGCATCAAACCTGCTAAAACTGAAGTCAAGATGCTTGTGAGACTTCAGTGCAGCATGGTCTAACTTCTCAGACTTTACAGACACACTCAGACATTGCACTTCTTATTTCTGTGATGTCTTATAGCTGATTTCATGTCTAATAGTGATATTCAAATGAAGTCCTGCTCTCTGCCTCAGTCTATCTCTCTACCCACGCCCCCCCTCCCTCTCTCTCTCTCTCTCTCTCTCTCTCACTCACACACACACTCACACATAAACACATGCACACACAGTGCAGCGCGTGCCACTCACCCGCCTCTTCTTCTTCTTCATTCATTTTCCACGCTTTTCATCACATACGTTTATACACAGGACGCCATCATGAAGGACTATCACAAACCAGATAAACAAACACTGCAAGAGCTGAGAAACATCGCGAACCGACTCCGCATCAATTCCATAAAAGCGACCACTGCAGCTGGCAGCGGGTAAGACAAACACACACACACACTCACTGTCTCTCTCTCTCTCTCTCTCCACACTGAGATTCACTTACTGAAGATGCTCCAGAAGTCATTACTCTGCTCCCTATGGAGTTTCAGCATGAAATTCCGTAGATAATAATAATAAAAATAATAATAATAATAAACATTATCTCTAACCTCCTTTAGAGTTTAGGAAAGGTTGTGTGTGCTGCCACTGTACAAGGCTACAGCTATACCTCCTGTGCACGCGCATTGTGGGCACGTGCGTCAAAAGCGCCGGTGACGTGCTCGTTGAGGCTCACACACCTGGCCAGGCTCTAAACCGGTTTAAACTAGAAATCAATAAAAATAAATAAATAAATAAAAAGGGGCTAAAATGGGCACCGTGTGTTGTCAGTTATTTGTTTTGTCACATTTCTTTCACTTTCTCTCTATTTCGTAGCCTAAGTAACACAGTTTTGTTACTGTAATAGTATGCTGTTTATCTACTTAGCCTTTTATTTTATTAGCCTTTATATAGCACATATTTCAAACACATTTCTTGGATATGGCAAGTTATAGAATAGTTGTAAGTTATAGACCTACTTGTGTATAATCATTATGTAAATACTGGACATAAAAAAAAAAAAAAAAAATCCCCTGCTGTAATTTCATCATCAAGAACAGGCAAAATTTATAAAAGTTGTATGCTGATTGGCATTTCCAGATTGTCTGTAGTGTGTGTGTGTGTGTGTGAGTGTGTGTGTGCGATTACCCTGCAATGGGTTGGAACCCTGTACATGGTGTCCCCTGCCTTGTGCCCCAAGTTCCCTGGGATAGGCTCCAGACTCCCCCGTGACCCTGTGTAGGATTAGAGGTACAGAGAATGGATGGATGGAATCCATTTCCAGAAGATTGCATTTATGTGACTTTACTGTATGTTTATGTGTTATGTGTTTGCATGCCTTTTTTTTATTTGAATGCGGTATGTCAGAGTGTAAAACTGTGTGTGAGTCTGAATAGTGTCTGGGTGTAATCTTTGCACATTGTCTGTTCTGCAGGCACCCAACATCATGTTGCAGTGCAGCAGAGATCATGTCTGTGCTGTTCTTTCACACCATGAAATACAGACCTGATGACCCTCGCAATCCCAGCTACGACCGCTTTGTTCTCTCCAAGGTAACAGACACAT